CTCTCTCTCTCTCTCTCTCTCTCTCTCTCTCTCTCTCTCTCTCTCTCTTTCTCCAGGGTCTCAATGTGTAGCTCTGACTATCCTAGAACTCATTATGTAGACCAGGCTGGCTTTACACCCAGAGGGATCTGCCTGCTGGGATTAGAGGTGTGTGCTGCTGTGCCCAGCTGGTTCTCTCTCTCTACCATGTGGGTTCCAGGGATCAAACTCAGGCCATCAGGCTTGGTACCAAGTACATTGAACTCCTGAGCCCCCACCCCCTCCTTTTTTTAGAGAAGGGCTCATGGTGACCGAGGTAGACATGGGCGAGGTCATCTCAGTGAGGAATGCCTAGGATGGCTGGGGACACGGAATGCTGGAGGGAGACAGAACAGTTCCAGAGTCGCCGAAAGGACCAGGTGTGCATACCCTCACCTTCCATCTCCTGGCCTCCAGATCAGAGAGAAAATAGGCTGTACTGTCTGAGACCCTTAGTCAGAGAGAAACGGAGAAGCTGGTCCCAGGAAGCTGCCTCAGCGAAGGACCCAATTTCCATGTATTGTTAAATAAAAGATGAGTATTGTAAGTCATGGGTGACAGATAAAGTTCTTGGACCCCGGTTATTGTCCAATTCTTACGTCAAATGTGATGGTAAAGATAAAACCCGGCGCGGCGTGGGGCCACTTGTTTTAATTATTTTATCCCTTTAAATAACAAATGTGGCTATAACAAACAAGAGAAGTTATTTTTCTTCAAACCAGCAGAAAGGAGTCAACCCACTTCAGTGATGAACTTCCAGGCACTGTGGAGACAGCATGAGGCAGAGCTTCATGGGGCGGGTCTGTGGGGTTTGGGGTTTCGTTCCTTTGAGGCGTGGGCGTGGAGCTTTTCCGAGAAACAAGCCCTACGGTAGTGTGCTGTAGCTACCATGTTGTTCCTGCCCTGGCTGATATTGCTAGTGCAGGAGAGTTCATGCAAAGTTTGCCACCCATGAGTCCCCTGGTGGGTCTGGGGACAGATTTCCCTCCTGCAATATGCTTTCATGCTTCTGTTGGTAGGATGAAACACCCGAGGCTTGGCGCTTATCAGGAGGCGAGGTTGATGGCAGTGTCTGTGTGTGTGCGTGTGCATGTGTGTGCATGTGCGTGGGTCCTCGTTTGCTTTCTGTTTCTCTGATAAACACTCTGACCAGAAGCAGTGTGGGAAGAAAAAGGCATTGTTTGGCTTAGGCGTCCCAGGTCAGAGTCTGTCATGGAGGGAAATCAGGGCAGGAACTCAAGGCAGAAACCTGGAGGCTGGCCATGGAGGAGTGTTGCTTACTGACTTGCTCTCCTTGGCTTGCTCAGCCATGGGTGGCCTCATCCATAATGAACTGGGCCCTCCTCATCAATCATCAACCCAGAAAATGCTGCCCAGATTTGTCTGTAGTCAGTGTGAGAGAGGTAAGTCCTCAGCTGAGGCTCCCTCTCCTCAGATGACGCCAGCCTGTCGTCAGTCGACAGAAGAACACTAACCAGCATGGGGTGTGGTGAGTTTAAAGCCCTGGCTGTGCCATGCTGTGACTAATGGCATGATGGTGGCAGTGGGGCGGGGGCAAGGTTAGATAGCAGCTGGGAGACTGAGAGGAGCAGCCTCACCTGGTGGCAGTGTGCTTTCCTACGGCTCCTCCATGCTGTGTTCCCAGGGACAGTCACCTTTCCCTAGGAGCCATCTCCTAAAGGTCCCAGCTCTGCCACACAGAGGACCCAGCTTCCAGCACCTGAGCCTGTAGGAAGGGCAGTGTCAACTTCAGGGCCTCCACCTTCCTGTCCACCTAAGGGCAGAGCTCAGGGACAGAAGCAGAATCAGGAAGCACAAAGGACACACCTGTCCAAGCGCAGGCTTCTGGGAGTCTTGAGACCTGTTCACAGGGTACATCCTTAATGTTCATGCCCATGTCTGGAAGCTTCGCAATCCGGCATACCAGGCATCACACACACGGAGGAACATGGCAAGACAGACCGACAGGCGGACAGGATCCAGAGTGACCAGAAGCAGACCAGAAAACACACGAGGGGCCAGTATTGGGGAAATGGTGCTGGAAGATGATAGTGATTGATACTTTCTGGCTAGACCTTCCTGGATCTGCAGAAGCATGGAGCCAATGTTTATATGTATGGGATGGTGGTTCATAACAGGAGGATGCATTGGATCCCATCACTTCACGCAGAAAGACTAACTTCTCATCTGTCCAGGCACCAAAGTCCAAGAGCAAAATACAGACTTGCTTGTGTCCTGGCGAAGGCTTAGTACCTGTTTCTGCAGATGGTGGAGAGAGGGATTGGGGTGGGGGTTTGGGAGGCGCTGGAGGGAGCACAATGAACTCAGCTGTTCCACCACCCAAGCTGTTGGTACTTGTTGGGTGGCCACAGCTGGAATCTGAGGCAGGTGTCAGCACTGCGTCGGCCATGGTTGCTGTCCATCTGCCCTGTAGGCCCAGTCCTAAGCCTCTAGGCAGGCCTGTGTCGGCCATGAGGCCAGGCCCCTGGCTCCTCAGCCAGTGTACTTATACGTGTTGTTTATTAGAGTTTGTGTTGACGTTCTCCAGGACCAAGCTTGGCACAGTGATGAAGTCCCAGCTGTCACCACTGGCCTTTGTGCCCTTCTGGTAGAGCTGAACCCTTTCTTTGGGATGATAATGGGGGCGTCACATGTGTGCAGAGAATGAAGACAGCCACAGTAACATGCCGAGCATCAGCGACATTTTACGCACTCACAGCCTTCAAGCACTGTAAGTATTAATTCCCGTATGTATACCTGGGGGCCGTTGTTACACACATCACTCAGATTTACAGGGCCATTAGGTGGAGAAGCCACGGTCAGGCAGCTGATTCTCTATTCTGTCTTGGGATGCCCCTTCTCCGTGTCACACTGTGCTGACAGCCAGGAAGACTCCACAAACCTTCAAGTACAATCAAGAGGGCAGATCTTCTTAAAGTGGAGAGTTGGGCCCGAGGCTCCCCTTTCTGGAACATTCTGAGAAGTCACCCCTGCTCCTTACTCTGGAGAAGCATGGAAAGAATTTCCTAAATGCCAGTTTTGTTTATTTCAATCAGCTGTAGGTTGGCTTTGGGCTTACCCAAAGACGGCATAATACCCCAAACTTCCTTCCTGCCGGATCCATCACAAATCATCTCTCAGTTGGGGTTTGGGGGCTCATGCTTTGGGTACCACAGGCCAGTGGCCTCTGAGGGGGAATGCTGGGCTGAGGTAGGAGTTCTAGAGATATGAACCGTATGCAGCCCTACAGTGAGGGTGCAGTCTGTCCCCAGGTGCACCTGCAGGTGGTAACCTGGACGATGTCTCTGTGACTGATGCTGAAGTGATAAGAAAATCCACTTCCACCATGAGCACCGTGTTTAATCAGTCCTCTCCAACACACAAAGCTTTTCTTTCAGATCACAGGAAAAAAGGTACGCTGCCTGGCTTGCTGACTGGGCTTTCCTTCTGAGTACCTTGTCACCAGTGGCCCCCTAGGGTGTGGCCAGAGCCCTGCTGGGCTTTGCGACATCCCAGGTAGGATGGCATGAGTTTGTGTGTTCCACCCTGCTGGCCCTCTCCAGGCCCAGTCTGGATCTCCTTGGGGACAGAGTCTGCGTTGCAGATCAGTCTGGGAAACGTGAGTCTCCAGCAGAACTCAGCGTTGGGGAAACCGCTGCGAAATTACTCCCTTCCTTCTCTGGAGGCCAGTGGACAAGAGAGCATTGTGTAGGGTCAAAGCCCTCCTGTCACAAAGGGGCCTTTCAGAGATGCTGATGGGGTGGGCGGGACCCCAGCAGCCTGGGCTCCTTGGGACATGCCCTGTCTTCCATGTGCACTGGGAGCTGCATGTGTGTGCATATGTATGCATATACCTAAGTGTATGCATGCATGTGTCTGTGTCAGCACATGTGTGTATGTGTGAATACATGTGTGTCTACATATGTAGTCGTGTGGGCATATGCATGTGTATGAGTGTGTTTGTGCATGTGTGTGTGCATGTGTATGTATATGTATGTGTGTGCACATATGTATGCTGGGGACAGGGAGCTATGGGTTTGTGTGTTTGCTGTAATCTGGGATAGAACAGAATACAACAGATTTCTGTGGTAGAAAGTAATTTCCTTGTTGGACCAGACATGGCAGAACGGGTAGATGGTGTGACTGGATTCCTGAAAGGTACAAGTGAGGCTGCTAGCCTCTGAGTTCCCAGCTCAGTTGTGGACAGGACAAGGTAGGGCTAAGAAATGTGGCCCCCTGGCCTGTGGACTCTGGATTGGTCAGCTGCTTGACAAGTCGCCCAGCAGAATACTCCTCCACCCTGGAAAGAGCCAGACACATGCTCCTGAGGGAGGGAGGGTAGGCATCTGGGATGAGAGAGGCTTGGAGCCTCCCAAGTCTGGATGCTGTGTGTGCCCGCGCATACTCTGGGGGAGACTCTGCAGTGTGATTGCGTTCTGCAGGGCATGGCCGCTGTGTAGTTAAGCTGAGTGCTAGTGGCTCCCAGCACAGAAATGATTTGGGGCATTCTTGGCGAATACTCCACCCCTTCCCTTGAACTAAAACGTTGTTTCATTTCCCATACAAAATGGCTCCCAGACCAGGGGAAGGGCAGCCTTCCCTGCTGCCTTGGTGAGATGCTTGCTAGGACTGGTGGCTTCTGGGAAGGAAATATGGAGGGCGGGAGAGAAGGGAATGTCTTTAAAGTGCAGTGACTGAGTTCCTGGGCTTCACCACCTGGGAAAAATGCTCTGGCCAGAGGCAGCATTATGTAGCACATAATTCCTGCTGTCTGGCCCTCTTTGCCCTCTGCAAGATGAACAGAAATTACTCCAAATATCCAAACTTCTCAAGCAGTAGGGTGGAGGTGGAATATTCCCTCTGGAGCACAGTCCACCTGTGGACTGGCCCAGAGTGAAGCTGCTTTGTGGTTCTGCCCAGGATGCCACGCAGAAGCTGTCTTACTTAGGGTTTCTATTGCTGTGAAGAGACAGAATGACCATGGCAACTCTTAAAAAGAAAGACAAGGAGAAGGAGCTGGAGAAGGAGCCGAGAGTCTAACATCTTGACCTGTAGGCAACAGGAAGTAAACAGTCTCACTGGGTTTAGCTTGAGCATAGGAGACCTCAAAGCCCACCCCCACAGTGACACACTTCCTCCAACAAGGTTATACCTACTCCAACAAAGCCACACCTCCTAGAGTGCCACTCCCTTTGGGGGCCATTTCCTTTAAACTACCCCAGAAGGTATAAGACCCACTCCAGGAGGGACTGGAGAGGACACGAAGGGATTGTGAACTGGATTCTGCTCCTTCACAAGACTGGAAAAGTTTGACACAGATTTCAGAGCTTTCTCTTCTTTTTCTTTTTTTTTTTTAATTTCTTTTATTTTTTTATTTTTTGATTTCAGAGCTTTCTAAAGTACTTGTGTAAAATTGTTCCATTACGGCTGTGTGTGCCCTAGGCAAGTTAATTAAATTCTCTGAGCTGCTCTTTGGGGACAACAGTAACACCACAATGCCTGTCACCTTTGGGCAGCTCACGTAGGTGGAGTGGGACTTGCTGGGGGTCGACATGTAGAACCAGTGCCTTTGTCATCTGGGACAATTTATTTTATTTTCGTCGCTCGAGGAATCTTGATGCCAGGGCCACCACCATCTCTCCATGAGCCCTGTGGCCCTCAGTCTAGGGCCAGGGGTCGGAGGTCAGTGGGATGTCTAGCTCTGGGTGGCTTGACTGTCATGGGCAACTTGACAGATTGTTACAGAAAGGCCAAGCTCCGTGAGCAGGATGTAGACCCAGGCTGTGTTGCCATGAGTGAGTCCCTTACCCTATGTGACATGTGTCTTTTGCTGACCATCAGAACTCCTGTAGGGCTGCATTACACTGTAGGTCAGGCTGGCCAGCTAGAATCATATTTAGAAGAAGGAAGGAGACTGTAGAATTTGGTGCTTAGAGCATACGTTGCCTTGGGACTATCCAAGCTTGACAGCCTGCCCCGATACAGCTGTAGGGCTTTGGGAGAGTTCCTCTCCCTCTCAGGCCCCGCTTGCCTTCATCAATGAGATAAGGATGGAAAAAGGGGGTCAGAGGGGTGTCTGCCATGAGCCCAGTGTGCATCAGCTGCAGCTGGTCCCCCAGTAGGTGTGGGTGTCGGGACCCAGGCTGGCCCCTGGGAGCCAAGGCAGGATGGAGGCTGTGTCTAACCTCAACAGACTCAGAGATGCTGAGAGATTCTGTCTCTTGTGGTTTTACACAAGTGTGTGTGTGTGTGTGTGTGTGTGTGTGTGTGTGTGAAGAGTTTATCGATTTATCTCATTGAATTTATTCATGCCAACCTGCTCCCGTGATTTGCAGGTCATTAAAAGAAACCAAAACCAAAACCCGTAAGATCTGTCGTGATATGTCATCCTTTGTCCTCATGATCTGTGACTTTTATCTTTTTGTTTCTTTTTTGGTCATTTGATATAGATACAGATATAGATGTAGATTAGATGTAGGTATAGATCTATGTCACCTGTATTAACTCCTTCAGAGGTACTTCTTTGGGCTTCCCTTCTTTTTCTTCTTTTCCCCTTATTTCCTTGATTTTCTTTTTTTTAATGTTCTCTTTATTATATTTGTTTGCCTGTATGCATGTGGAGGTCAGAGGTCAGCCTTGTGGAGTCAGTTCTCTCACCACATAGGTCCCAGGGACTGAACCCAGGTCATCAGCCTTGGCACCAAGCTCCTTTACCCTGCTGCGCCATCTTGCTGGCCCTCTACTTTTTTCTCATCCCTGCTCTCACTTCCTTTGACCCTGCATCTGGCTTGCTTCCCTCTTCTCTTTCCTAACACAGATGCTCATACCACCCGCTTGAAAGTCGTCCATAGCTGACATGGCGTCAACCGTGTCTCTCTCTCTAAGGATTCCGTTAGTCACACACAGTAAATTAGGATTCGCTCTTCTCTGCTGCCACTGGTCTTGGGGGATCATTTCTCTCCTGTGCTTGTTTCTGTGAGCTGTGAATATTTTTGCCTTCCTTTTAAAGAATATTTTTTTTATATTGGCAGTTCTATACATGTACACAGTGCATGTTGCTCACATTCATGTCAACAGTCCTCTCACTCCTCAGGTTTTCTCAATACTTCCTTTCCCTCCTCTCCCACCTTTTCCTCCTCCTCCTCCTCTTCTTTCTCCTCCTCCTCTTCTTTACGATAACAGAGTCTGGTTAGTGCTGCCCAGATGCATGTGGGTATTTGCCATCCAAGAGGCACGGGCAGCCTGCCAGCAGCCATACCTTTCAGGAAGATTGGCCCTCCCTTTTCTAGCAGCCATAGGTTGTCAGTATGTTCTCAGCCAGGGATGAAATTTTATGGTCCCTCTCCTATCCACGCTAGAATGCGTACTGGAATGATCTCGTGTAGGTCACCATGGTTGCTGTGAGTTCGTAAGGGCAATGGTGATGCCACGTCCAGAAGACAGCATGTCATAGCCCTCCCCCAGCCTCCAGCTTTTGCATTCTTCCTGATTCCTCTTCCACAATGCTCCCCGAGTCCTGCAGGGAAAGGATGGATAGAGATGTCCCATGTAGGGTTCAGTGCCCATAGTCACTTAGTGTAGCACTTTGACCAGTCGTGAGTCTGCACTAACTACTAGACTGCAAAGGGAAGCTCCTCTGACCAAGCTTGAGAGCAGTGCTGATTTATGGGTGTAAACAGAAATATTTAGAAGGCAATTTTGATTATAACATGCCCATATAACCAAGCAACAGTAGCGGTTTCTCCCCTAGGGCCTGTGGTCTGACTTCCAGCTTTTGACCAGGTGTCCTGGACTTGAATCTCTTCCTCTGAAGCTGACTCCGGATCCCATCAGAAAGCAGTTGGTTTTCCCCGCAACTGTCATGCTCTGTCGGCACCGGTGGCAGGTCTTCGGCTTTGTTCCTTACCATCCAGCTGTCCTGAAATGCTCTAGACAGCCCCCCTTAGCTCCCCATGACATGTGACAATGTCCTACCACCCAGCAAGTGCTTGGTCTTGGTATACCCTTCTTATGCACTCAGAAAGAATGAGGCACCTACAACTGCTGAATTCCCTGAGATCAAGATGATGGGTAGGATTGGGTCAGCCTTTTAATTTGACTGGTTTATCTTGTTCATGTATCCCATCAGCTGAGGATGGGATTTCAATGGCTCTAGTAGTGTAACAGGTTTGTATCACCATGGAAACAAACCCCTGGGTCTGCCTGTCGAGAAGTTTCTAGGTTGTGTTCACTAAAGTGGGAAGATTCACGCTGAATGTCGGCAGCACCATCTCATGGTCTGGGTCGTGGGCTGAGTAAAGGAGGAAGTGAGTTGAGCACCAGCGTTCATCTCTCTGTGCTTCCCAACTGGGGATGCCATGTGACCAGCTGCCTCACGCTCCTGTCACCATGCCTTCCTGACCAGGATGGATTGTGTACCCTCAAAGTGTGAGCTTAAATAAACCCTTCCTTTTTTAAGTTGCGTGTGTCAGGAATTTTGTCCTAGCAAAGAGATGACGACAGATACACCGTAGACTCGCACACCTGTGCATAGTGTTTGGGGTGTGCACACTCCCACCCGCGTCCCGCCTGTCTCATTCTTAGCATCTCCTTCAGCCACCTTTCTGGAGACTCACTCTGATTAGTCTAGAGTTTCGTTGGTTCATAAGATAAAATGCAAATTCTGTCATTGACTGTCTGTGTAAGAATACCTCCCTTCCCAAATTAGTGTGTTGTGTGTCCTGTCACGTGATCAGGCGCTGCCCTTACCCCTAGGCCGCAGAGCTCCTTCGCTGACATTGGAAAGCAGCTTCCTCAGTCACCTGGGCTGGCATAGCTAGTGAGCACAGCTGAGGATCAGTGAGAGCTGGAAAATGCCACACACATCTGGTGTCAGCCTCCAAGTCCATGCTGCAGACTTTGAAAGGTCTGTGGCCAGGAGGAGCCACCCCTGGGAGTGGGAGGGAAGCCCTGAGAGGGTGGGCAAGCCTGCGAGCAAAGCCTTCTAGATCTTGCTTGAGCAGGGCTCTGTCGTGTGCAGCCCTGGCTCTTCTTTGCAGCAAGGAGGGGGGGGGGTCAAGAGCGCAGAATGCTGTTGGCAGAGGAAAAAACATGGAACGCCCAACCACAGGATTCCCAAAAACATGGCTAAGCATTCATTTCGCTAACATGTTCGATGGCACGCTGGTCTCCGCAGGCTCATTCCTGGACTGGAAACAGTTCCCAAAAGCCATGTGATTCCACATTCCCCCTGGCCATGTGCAGATAATGAGCAAATCTGCCTGGGCTGGCCCTGGCCTTCTAGCCATTCAGAGCCAGGCATTCCCCAGCCCTGGGCTATGCGTGCCCTTAGGACACGTTAGGCACCCTCCTCTGCCCTGTCCTCTTGCCCTTGGTGAAGACCAGGCTGTGTGTGCTCAGAGGGGTTCGCCACAGGGCCACAGTGGTACCACCTCCCAGCCCTCCAGCGTCTCATGGAGGACTGGCTAAATGAGGAGGGTGACTGGGGTAGGGTAGCGTCTGTTAGGTCTTGACTCACAAACACTATTTCCATGGTTTTCTTTGAAAGACACACATACAACCAAACCGATTTTAATTAAAGATCTTGTCTTGTGGTCAGGAGGCCACAAATGAGAGCAGAGTGGCTTTCATGTGCGGAGCATACCCAGGGCCGAGCCTGTTTCCCATAAAAGGACACTTTTGCCCCCAAATGAGAAAATAGTTTGTTCTCCACAGTGTGGGAATGCTGCGCAAAGCGGTCTTTTGCAAAGTCTGCAGTGGAGGGTCTCCCGTACCAGCCTTTGTAGACGCTGAAGTAGCTGCAGCCCTTGTCAACCTCCAGTGCCTGCTGGATTCATGCACGCCAAGGTCAGACACACGGTCCTGATGCTTAACTAAAAGACAGTCAAAGCCCAAGTCAGTGCACCCAGGAGCTCCCAGGGTAGAGTGTCAGAATGAACAGGCCTTTGTTTGTTTTAAACCTTTAAAAATGGGGGTGGGGTGGAGATGGCTCAGAAGTTAAGCATGCTGGCTGCTCTTGTAGAGGCCCTGGGTTGGATTCCCAACATCCACAGGGCAGCTCACAACCATCTGTAACTCCATTCTTGGGCCTTATATCATGCCCTCTTCTGGCCTCCATAGGCACCAGGCAGGCACATGGTGCCCACGCATGCAGACAGGCAAAACACCCGTGCACATAAGACGAATAAGTAGAAGTTTAAATTTTATTACTGTGTGTGTGTGATATGTGTTCAGGTCAGAGGGCAACTTGCAAGAGTTGGTTCTCACCACTGAGTAGCCCTGCCCAACCCTGTTATTTTTTTTATTTTGAGATAGTTTCAGTGGTTTCAATAGGTTATCTGGGGAACAGTGGGGACCTGAGGAGAGAGAAGGCTAGAATATAGGCCAAGGAGCATATGAACCCAGGGTCCAAGATTCTGGGACTAGACCCTGGTCTGGGCTGAACTGAGGACCTCTGAATGAGGGTGTGATTGGTGAGCACTGTGCAGTGTGGAGTGAGCACCACGCCGTGGGCACCGTGCAGTGAGTACCACGCCGTGGGCACCGGGCAGTGAGCACCATGCCGTGGGCACCATACAGTGAGCACCACGCTGTGGGCACCGGGCAGTGAGCACCATGCCGTGGGCACCATACAGTGAGCACCACGCCGTGGGCACCATACAGTGAGCACCACGCCGTGGGCACCGTACAATGAGCACCACACCACAGATACTGTGCCCCCCACTCTGGTTTGGAGCTGTGGTCAGGACTGGTCCTCACACTCAGGTGGCTCCTCTATGCTGTGCAGGATGGCATGTGCAGGATGGCATGTGCAGGATGGCTTGTGCAGGATGGCATGCACCCTATCAGAGGCTCACAGCCTTTCCCTCTGACACGGGACAGGTGTCTCAGGTCTGGTTCATAAAGTAGAGCAGGACCTCTCAGGTCCCTAGGGGTCCAGAGCTTCCCCACAGGGCAGTTACAGCAGCACCCTGTGTGTAGCCAGAGCCTCTTACACCCTCTGTGTCCCCTGGTGGATGCCAGTGGTCTCCGGGTGAAAACAGCAGAAGAACCAACAGAAGCAGGAACGAAAACTCCCCTGTCTCTCACACCAAGGCCACAGGGCTCTGACACTTCTCCTCCATGGCACCTTCAAGACAGTTCTGTTTGGTTGCTCTGCAGTGCGGACCTTATGCCCCTGCACACAAGAAGGCTGCTTTAGTGCCGTGTATCACGTCTCTATTCCGGTCAGCAGGAAATAGGACTGCCTAGAAGGAAGAGCAGGGACTCCAGCCAGCTGTAGGGGCTTGTGAGACGTTTTAGGGATAAGGTGACCACGTTCTTACCTTAATCTTATTCGTTATACTGTGGTCAGATAACATCAGCTACCAGCAAGGGAGGCTGGGAAGTGTGGCTTTATTTCGGGGTGTCCATATTCCTGGTTATGGGAACTGTTCCTGTGTTCCCGTGTGTCCCTGGTGTTCGTGTCCGAGCCAGGGCTGTGAAAGGGCTTCCATAAGTGGGCAAAGGTGTGTATGGTGTAGCAGAGAGACCGACACAGGGCTTAATGGGGACTCACTGCTCAGTCCCGTGGTGTGTGATGGGTCAGGGTGTAACGGGATGACTTGGCAATATGCATTTCACCATGGTAAGGATGAGGACATGTGATCTACCAAGAGGACTTGACCTTCCCAGAAACCAAGGGCTCTTTGTCTCTGCCCCAGGTTTGCCTGGGCCATTTCAGGATCCAACCACCCCGTCTAACACTAGGCTGGGCCTTGCAGAGTAGCCCCGCCCTATAGTCTGTATTTCAGTGACTCCAGTCATGGCAGATAGTTGTGAGGTGGGATCATCTACGATTTAATTAGCAATAGATCCACCCCCCCCAAAAGAAACTTAAGCAGATGGAAGGTTCAGTCACTTGTTACGGGGGTACACAGGATGGCTCCATAGTCTTGTGAGGGGCAGACATACTCCGGAACACTCAGCCAGACCAAGAAGTAAGGAGGCAGTCAGGAAACGCCCACACACTTCCACCAGATGGTACCTGCAGCTGCGACTCCTAAAGTCCCACGTGGGGTCTCCACACGCGAAGGACTCAGGTTGCCTTCTGTCATGGCAAGAAGGTGACAAAGAGCCTTGTCTTCACCCTCTGTCCGTAGCAAAGGTAGAGGGGAGAAGTCTCAGCTCTAGGAGGGACTTTGAACTCCTCTGTTCCACTTCTAGTATTGACGCTGGGAAACTGAGGCCTAGATGGTAAAGTGCGTTCCTCAGAGGCCCGAGAGAGTTAGGACTAGACCCCAACCTTCTGACGTCATGACATCAGATTCCTGGGAAGGCTCTGTTGTCTCCTAGCTTCAATTATGCGTGGGCCCAGAACGAGCATGCAGGGCTCAGGAGTTCACTGTCCTGTTGTGAGGTTCTAGTTCCTAGCTCTGTTAATTCTATCTCTCTTGTCTGTTACAGAGGAGGACTCCACTCAGGACCCATCATTTCCTCGTGGGATGGTGCAACCGACTGCCCGTTGGCATCTTGCTTCCCACCTGTGACACACTGTCCACTCTGGTCCTGGGCTCAAAATGGGAGCATAAGTTTAAGGTTATCCTGGGCTACATAGTGAACTTGGGGTCAGTCTGAGCTATATAATACCTTATCCTTAATAAAATGAAATCCCAAGTTGCGTGGAAAACCTGCTCCAAGCCTCTGCATCTTACCTTCATTGCTCCTCAGGAACAGAGAGCGGGACACCATGCCAGCCACCTTTGCCTGCCTTTCCTTTGGGGGGGGCTGCCCAGAAAGCCTGCTGTGCTGTGGAGGGAAGGGGCTCACAAGCTTGGCCCCTGAGGACTGTCCCTTCTCCCTGCTTGCCTGATAACGGCTGCATCTGGAAATAAATGACACTCTGTCCTCACATCTGCTCCGAATTTGTGTTTCAGAAACGAGAGCACTCAGTTGCCTGGTATCACAGGGCACTCCTCTGGCCTGGGAGTACGGAGCTGATTGGATGTCCCACCCAACAGGGGAGGCGGTTCAAGCTCTTTCCAGGAAATTGAGTGGAACACCCAAACTGACATCCAATATTAAATACTGTATTTGTGGAGTTGTTCTGGAGAGTTCCCTGGCATCTGACATCTGGGAGAGAAATTTATAAGTGGGGGAAACTGAATGCCTAGTTGGAATGAGGCTCATCAGAGCTGGGAAATTAAAACGTCACTGTGCACTGGGCAGGAGGGCTGTGCAAAAAGGTAGGGCTATTAAAATATGATTAGCCCAAACGTATTTTGTCTCCAAAATGTCATACATCGTTAAAGTTGAGAAGGCTTTGATGCCAGTACCCCTGGCAAGGGCTGTGCCCCGTCAGCAAAACGGACCCCAGAACGTTCTCTGCAAATATGCAGGCTCATCAAGCAGGACAGAACCCAGAATACAATGGCCGTACCCCCAAATACAAGGCCCGCTGCTCATGAGCCCCAAATGTATGTATCGACCCAGGCCGATTCAGGAAGTGGGGCACAGGGCAGGGCCACCTGCAGAATGCAATAGAGAGCCAAGGGTGCAGCCTGGTGGCAGAGTGTTTACTGAGCACCAAGTCCCTGAGATCTGTCTCCAGCAGCTTAAGGAAAACAAAAGTATACCTGAAATCTGGGCCATCAAGAGAAATGGTATTTTAGCATAGGAGCCAAAATTGCAGTGCTAAACCATTATCTGCTGTGATTGGCAGCTTGGTTTCTTTTCTTTCCTTTCCTTTCCTTTCCTTTCCTTTCCTTTCCTTTCCTTTCCTTTCCTTTCCTTTCCTTTCCTTTCCTTTCCTTTCCTTTCCTTTCCTTTTCTTTCTTCTTCTTCTTTCTTCCTTCCTTCCTTCCTTCCTTCCTTCTTCCTTCCTTCCTTCCTTCCTTCCTTCCTTCCTTCCTTCCTTCCTTCCTTCCTTCCTTCTTTTTATTAAATAAAGTTTTATTAAGGTCCTGAACCAGAATTAGGGATGGACCAGCCAGTATGGGTTTTATAAAGTCTGGGTCATATTTTGTCCTTTGAAAAAATTTGATATTTTGCTTTTTACGGAGTTTTACAGTTTTGACTTAACTTTTTGGAGGTAGGATCTCGTGTAGCCCAGGCTGGCCATGAGCACACAATATGACCCAGGATGACCTTGAATTTCTGATCCTTCTACTTCCTCCTCCCAAGTACTGGAGTCACAGGCATGTGCAACCATACCCAGTATTGTTTGTGGCGCTGGGAATAGAACCCAAGTGTTGCATGCAAGCTGGGCAAGTCTTACACTCTCTGAGCCACATCTCCATCCTTAAAATTTTGATTTTAGTAAACAACTGCTTTTTTTTTTAATGATACTCTCATGGGAGGCGAGGGTTGTGGTTTTTTTCATCTAAGTTTCATTCTTTAAATCAAATGCTTTCCACTAGATTACTGCAGTCCCTGCCCCGGCCAGGGGAAAGGTTTGACATCGTCTTGTTTCTCCTGGGGTCTCCAGCTCTCTCACCGTTACTGTGAGAACCCTGACTTGGTACTTGGAGGCCACCCAGGGCTTATGGTAATCCTAAAACGCCAACACTCCTCACTGATGGGCACAGCTGGCCTTGGAAGCCCCTCTGTCGTTGGTGGTAGAAAGTGCAGTTCCATGTGTGGGATGCGGAGTTGGCACCTCTTGGCCAGGGTCTCCAGGTGTCAGGAGAGAAGGGAGCAGGAAGTCCCATCATGCACAGCTCGAGTAGCGAACTCAGATGCCATCCCAGAGACCACCTGCACTCGGACATCTGCTCAAGCATCTGGGCCTGAACCACAGTCGTGGCTGTGGACAGCAATGAAGATTGCTGGCAGCTGGCAGTATTTTAGAGCGAAAAGGGCCGAAGGCAGCTCTTGGCTTCCTCCCAGGCACGGGCAGTGAACCCCGTGTGCTGTCCCTCAGCAGCTGGCTTTAGGGGACCCCAAACATCTCCAGCACAGAGCTCTGACATGAGGGCCTATATGGCTGGAGAGAATCCTAGGACACCTGAAGTGGCCTTGGGAATGACTTAGGCTGACCTTCAGGGTGAGGAGGGTGTCCCTGATATGGTGGGCAGCAACCCAATCCAGGCGCAGTTTGCCTCCGTTGCTCAGGCTGGCCTTGAACTCTGTGCCCTCCCCCTTTAGCCTCCCGAGTAGAGGCTCTGTGAGTCGGGAGGAGGCCCACCAAGACAGAGTTAGTATAGCAATGCCACAGTGAAGCCCATTGCTCTTTTTCCAGCACCGGGTATCAAACTCTGACCTTCACACGCACTAAGAAAGCTATCTAGCACGGAACTTCGTCCCCTGAAACCCGTTACCTTGCATGCTAATTAAAAATAACTACGAACAATATCAATTCCTGGCCACATCCCATATTTACTGAACAGGAAGCGTGGTGACAGTGGAGAGTTCATTTTTGATCCCTCTCATGTGGCTCCGACAACCGTGAACAGCCATGGAAACAGCTCTCTCGCCGGAATCTCACTAATGTCTGGGAGGCATTGGTCCTTAAGTTGAAGCTCCCGGGTCCACCTGAGGCCTGAGCTCCTGGGGCATACTTGGTCTTTACTGACTCCCGCTGTCCCTCAGTGTGTGGATGGGGTTCAGGAAGACCCATCATCTCCCTTGGCAGCCGTTCATACCCATCCCGTTAGGAAAAGAGGAAGGGGAAGGTTTGGGGGTCATGGCACACCTGCACTGGGCAGATGACCCTCAGGAAGTGGTGAGGTAGGAGTGTCATCGAGGAAAGCTGTAGCTGGGGACATGGGACGAGCGGCTCAGTAAGGCTGGTTTCGCCTCCAACCACTGAGGGCTGGAAAAGGCCCAGTCATAATAGATTTGACCCGCGGCCTGCTGACGATACAGACCCGAAAGCTGCCCAAGAGACCCATAAACTGAACTCGCAGCTCCCGCCCGCCCCTGGTTTGGCATGGTGGAGGCTGGCATTACTCCTGTGGTGGGGAGGAGCTGTGGTGACTCACATCATGGCCCCTCCTCCCGGAGCTTCCTCTTGACATTATTGAATGAAGCCTTGGAAGGACTGATGGCCAGCCGAGTTACTGCAGAACCTCCTGGAGTGGCCGGAGCTCTCGGGCATGGTGGGGGCCTTCCCATCTTGTCACTCAGAGTCTTGGCCCCAAGTTTGCGGGGAATGTGTATTAAAGAGGACTGTTGAATCTGCATAGGATTTGGTTCAGAGTGTTTACTTGGCTCTGTGGTGGGTGGAGAAGGAGGGGAAACCGAGTCACTTCATACACTGGGAAAATCCAGGACATTAAGTGTGGGACAGGACTTCCCAGGCTCAGCCTCCAGCCCTGTTCTGACCTCAGAGGAAGCACTATGAAAATGCACAGTGCTCTCGGTGAGCCTCAGTTTCCCCATCTGTGATGTGAGAAGAATACCTCAGTGTCCTGTGAAGTTTTAAATTATGAGCTGAACTCAGGCAGATCGAGTAAGCTGTCCTGCCAAGACACCGCCACGGGAAGCAGCAGAGGTGCTGGGGCCTGCGCTCTCCTTCCCTCTGCCCATCTCTCAGACCATGTTTGGTTCTTTTATTTGTGTTTTATTTTTACCCATTGACTCAGTGTGGCATCATTAAAAGTTACAGTGTGCCGTTTATGTAGTCTCTACAACTTGACTTACGATAGAATTTTTGCTTATTCTTTGAGCATTCCATACATGTGTACAATGTACTGTGATCGTATTCATCTCCCACTGCCTCCTCCAGATGCCCCTTTCCTAACTTCATGCCCTTCTCTCATTTATTTATTTATTTATTTATTTATTTATTTATTTATTTATTTATTTTTAACCTACTGAGTTCAGTTAGTGTTACCCAAATGTGCATGGGTGTGGGGCCATCCACCAGAGCATGGGTCACTTACCAGTGCCCACACCCCCAAAGAAAAGTGACTCCCCTCACCCCTGGCCCCAGTAGCTATCAGCTATCAAAATCCCTCATCTAGGGAAGGGGTTTCATGAGCCCCTCCCTATCCCTCATCTGCTGTGGTCTTGCGCAGTTAACCCCAGCGGCTGTGAGTTCCTGAGTGCAGAAGACAGCACTTCCCGGCTCTCCTCCCCATCTTCTGGCTCTTACATTCTCCCTGTGCCCTCTTCCATGATGGTCCCTGGACCTTGGCCAGGGAGAAGGTTGATACAGGTGTCCTGTACATGGCTTGGCCCTCACTGTTTTTACATTTTCTTAGTTCTTTGACCAGTTATGTCTGAGTCTCTGCATTAACTATTGCCCCTTGCAAAAGGTTTCTCTGACCAAGGTTGAGAGCAGCACTACTCTGAGGGTGGAAAGAGAGATAGTTATGAGGCAATTTGGCAACATGTTTATTATGCAAAACAACTGTTGTAGGTTTCTACCCAAGTACTTATGGCCTCCTGAGTAATAGATATTTGACCAGATTTATAGTACCAGGCATGAATTTTTTCCCATTAAACAGGCCTCAGATCCAAGTATAAAGCCATTGGTTAACCCCTTAACTACCATGCCACTACTGCGCTAGTAGCCGCAACTTGCTTGGCATAGGTGCTGTAGCATGTAGGCTCCAGCACTGGTTAAGACCACTGATCTCTTTTCTCTCCCAGCAGACTACATAGTGCCTTCTCGAACCCTGAAAGCCACCCATCAGGCGGGAGTACCCTGGCCAGCTCTAGATTGATTTTTCCATGTCCTGCAAATAAAGAGTGTTTAGCAATAGGCTCTCACCATCCTAGTATAGTAGGCAGCGAAGCAGTGTAAATAGTCTTCTTTTGGGAAGTTCCCAACCAATAACTCATAGGGAAGTATCCAACACCTAAGACTGAGATTTCCACTTAATAGCCCTTGTCTCCTGGGAGTGGCATTGTCCAGCCATGTAGGATGCCTTCAACTCCAGACTCTCCTTTTAAATTATATATATTTTTTCAAATCTGTGGCTTTCCATAATCCTGTGTGCCCTTCCCATGTGTTGAATCTCAGTCTTCTCAATGTTTACTTTCACACCAAGGTTTTCACTGACTTCCACCACTCTATTTACCACGGCCTGCAGCTCATTTGGACTTTCAGCAAGCAGTGCTGTATCGGGGAAAAGCAAGTTATTGATTCACACACCACCTCTCTGTACATCTATCTCCTCATCCTCCAGGGCTGCTGCTATTATTAATTCCAGGACTATATTAAAGAGTAGTGATGAGAGGATGCATCCCTGCAACACTCCTATGATTGTCTTAAACTCATCAT